AAAATTGAAGTAACTTGCCGAAGCCATGTTAGGGCAATATTTTACAGCCTAGGGTGCTTCCGAGGGGCCGTTCCTTTGAAAACCCTTTTCTGTTCTTCTTTAGTGTCCTTGGTCTGTGGGCAATGTGTTCCTGCTCCATCAACCCTAAAATACAGACATAAGAGGGCAGGTACCAACTAGCTTACCTCTGAATCCCACATTATGGCTTACCAGTGACTTCAGTATAGCTGGCATTCAATATGTATTTTCTTTGCAAATAACTAAATTACTGGAAAAACAATGCTGTCCGGCAGGTTCTCGTTGAAGGAATGTTTGGAGGTCTTTTTGCATGTCTAACATACTATGCCAAATTGTTTGGCAAATCTGGGATTTTTGTAGATCTATTTGTTCTTTATTCTCAATGCACATACAGGTCTACCTTTGCTCTCTAGATGGAGTGGAACATTATTGAGGCTAATTAAAAAGTTTAGGGAATTTAGTCTTCTGACAAAACAATTACTTGGATCAGACTATCCTTTAGTTAGTACTTTTTTAGTTAGTACTTTTCCCAGAGACATCCTCAACTGGTTCCACAGCCCTTCCTTATTCCCCATCCTGGTAGCTGATTTGGATCCCTGTTTATTTCTTTTTCACCTGCTAAATTTTAATGGAACACAGACACCCTTAGGGTATGTTTCCTGCATGCTTGGGCAATACTTGTCTGGTTCTGTATTCTTCCTGCCTATCTTTCTCCTCCCTCACTTCTTTTAAACTCTTTTTTTTTTTTCTTTTTTTGAGGAAGTTATGGGGGAGCTTGTTTACTGGGATTGGAAAGCTAGAGGCTCTGCCAGGATGATGTGAGCATAGTGCCCTCTGGTGGAACTTTGTGAAAATTACAAATTTCTCCCCCAAAGCTTAAGTGGTAAGTTTTTTTGGACTGGCCTTCATGGGGAGGGCCTTTCTGTTATATCTTAAATATAGTAAGTTTATGACATGCAAGTTTGTTGCCTACATTAGGTATTTGAGAGCTATTATTTTGGGGGTATCCCTGGAGCTATGATTACCAGAGGTTTATCATTATAATTTTAGGTCTCAACTGACTAGAAACGGGCAGCTAAGTATGTGTGCTTTTTTATCACCTCCCAGCAAGGTGTAAGAGAGATAAAGAAAAAAGGAAAGTTCCCAAAGAGGATAGGAACCAAGAGTAGCAAGAAGTGGCAAAGATCAGCAGACTTGGTCACAAACAAGTCTGATCCTCAACCCTTGCTTGGATCTGAGCCCAGAAATGTAAGTCAGAGCCAGAAGTTCAGTGGCTGCCAGGTTCTCACCTCCTAGGGAAGTAAGGGGTTGAGGGGGGTGCAGAAAGTGTAGCATGAACACACCCTGTGGGGGCCCAAGGTCATGACACTGTTTGCTGCTCCACCTGGGCCTTCTGGCTGGCCTTTTTTAAAATTTCATTTTGAGGATCACTCTCTTCTCTGTTGCCATTAGCAAAATCATTGTGGCTGTGAGGACACAGTCGTGGGCTTCAGTGAAATGTATCTGCACTTAAATTCCTGTCCTACCTGGAATCAGTCATGAGACTTGGGCAGGTCAACCTGCTGGAGTCCCAAGTCCCAGTTCTCTGAAGGGTCTTTATAGAAACATTTGTGAGGATTCAAAAATAAGCACAGAGTGAACAATTCATCACCAAGGTACTGAATTTTATTATATCCATGAATGAGGAAGAGAATGGACCTTTTTTTTTTTTTGAGACAGACTCTCAAGCTGTCATCCTAGGTAGAGTGCTCACAGCTCACAGCAACCTCAAACTCTTGGGCTTAAGTGATTCTCTTGCCTCAGTCTCCCAAGGAGCTGGGACTACAGGCGCCCACCACAAAGCCTGGCTATTTTTTGGTTGTAGTTATCATTGTTGTTTGGTGGGCCTGGGCTGGATTCAAACCCGCCAGCTCCAGTGTATGTGTCTGGCACCCTAGCCGCTGAGCTATAGGTGCTGAGCCATAATGGACCTATTACTAAGGCGATGGCTCAGTATTTAGGACTGCTGGTAGTAACCAGAGGCTGGAAAACATCCTGTGACCCATCCAGCAACACATTTAAAAAGAACAGGGGCAAGGAGTGATACTAGAAGCAAATAAGCCTTTATTAAGCATCAACTATGGCACTTAGTGTCAGTATATGTGGGAAATTATGTAACTTGGATATGGCAAAGCCTTTATGCTTTGGGAGTCTACCCATTAGTTTGTGAGGAAAAAAATCTTGCTAGGGGAAATGATGTCAGAAATGTCAGAAAGCAAAACATGTCACCAGTATGGGAAAAATAAAAAGCCAAACTACACACAAGTACCTAAGAGTTCCAAGATAGAGGAGTAGGTAAGAATTCTTGGAGAGGGTCACCTTGGGGAACAGTGGGAGTGGTTTCTATACTGGATAATGGACAACGTGGTAAAAATGTGATTGAGGGATAGCTTTCTGTGACAGGCAGGGAAGAGATCTGCAAAGACCTAAGAATAGGATTTAAAGGATGGCGTGTGCAAAGATACTGATGGTGAAATAGGTGCACTTTGCCTAGAGTAAGAGTAATTCAATGTGAAGTTGGGAAAGTACCGAGCATTAGAATTCTATAAAAATTTAAGTTAGAAAAATGTGATATGCTATTAAGGCATATAAGAAGTCTCACTACATATGTAAAATTGAAATGAAGTTAATCTTTAAAAGTTCGGGGGAGAGGAGGAGATAAAAAGAACACAATTTCAACTTGTATAAACTGACTACAAATGTTGTTAACGCTACCCCCACGGGCTGGCACAGCTTTGGTAAGCTCAGAAAAGTCTCCACTTCTCTTGATCGGGATGAGACTTGCTTGGCTTGGGTTTTCATTGGTGAGAAATCTTTATTCCCTCAGGTGAAGGGCAATCCCTTGTGCCTGCAGAGGCAGCTCGTGACTTCATGGCTGCTGGAGTCCACTCTCCCCACCCCACAGCCCTTCCTTGTCTTGCATTCTTTCCACCCAGCCTTTCCTTGCACACTCATCTATTTCTCCTACCCTCTTCTCTCCCTCCCCCCGAACCCAGCTCCTTCCCAGGCACCTTTCTCCTCATCTCTTCAGCATGTAGAGGCTCAAGAACAGGAAATGCACCAGCAGATAGGGACCAGCTGCCTGTTCTTCAGGGCATTACCTTCACTGGGGACTGAAGAGGGTGCCGTGTAGCTGAGAGAACCATAGGAAGAAGATGGGGTGCACTACATGTGAGCATCGTAGGCCCTGTCTCAGAGGCCGCTCTTTGAAAGGAGGAGAGCCTGGTCATCTTTCTCTGACTGCTCCGCTTCCTGCAGCAACGTGTAGAGAGGGCCTGGCGTGCTTGTGTGATATGGAGCTTCTTTGGACCTCATCCCCTTCAAGCCGGGGCTGTAACAGCGATGCCGTAAAAGGGAGAAGCCATAGATTCCCAACAGGCATGAGGCATTGATCATCAGATGCCAGCAGAAGAAGGTGGTGACAAACATGAGGTCACTGATGTCATCGTCCTGCCAGGGGTAGCCGGAGAGTGGTCTGAATAGGATAAAGCCTGCCTGCATCAGCCAGGAGCCCATCAAGAGAAACAGAAAGGTCTCCATCATCCAGAGGTAAGACATGTCAGGAGCCCACAGCTCTGCCGTCAGCACCAGCAGCAGGAGGAACACCACCATGATGACCAGAGCATGGACTTGCAGCTCTATCCCTTCCGAGCTTTTAACATGTGACACCAGCAGCAGCAGGAGCTCATAGAAGCTCAGGACCAGGGCTCCCTTTTCTAGGACCACACACCTCTGAGGGAAAACATTCCTGCTCATGAATTCTGCACAGCCGCTGAGGGCGAGGAGGATGAACATGGTGAGATGTTGCCACTCTTTGGGGTACATAAACCTTGGTGGCATGTCCCTGTTCATCAGTATTAAGCCTCCTTCAATGCAGCTGATCTCATAAGCTATCAAGAGGGAACCAGCCACCATCTTTAACAAACCTCCATAGGATATATTCCACAGCCTGGCCCATCTTCCCTTATTCCTGGTAGGGCACAAAGGATTCAAGAGAGAGTCATTGAATATTACAGTTTTGGAGACCACTACTGCCTGATACAGTCCATATAGGAACAGAAAAAGTCCTGGATACACATGACCAATAAAGGTTCCCATTGAACTACAGACCTGTCTAAAGGAGAAAAGCTCGAGACTCGGACACGGCCACACCGCAGGCCACTTCAATTCTGGGTTTGGAAAGAACTGCCTTCCACTTACTTATATCATCTCATGCCACCTACTGCTGCCCCACAGAAAGGAAATATTTCTCTAGACAAGCCTACACACTTGGGGTCATGTGGCTTTACTGTTCCATGCCATCTGTTACACTGGGAACCAGCTGGCTTCTTCCGGAGAAGGAGGCTGCTGAATGGGCTTCCAGGGGTCCTCTTACGGCCCTTTGGTGCTTCTGGTCACATTTTCCCCATGGCTTCCTTCCTCCTGTTCTGCACAATGCACAGAGGACAGACAAATGGTGGTGGCCACCAGGGTCTTGAGAGAAGGCCTTGGCACTCGTACATTCTTGAGGGGCGTTCAGTACTTCTTAATTGAAAAGTCACATGTTTTCTTTCTGGACACATAAAGATTTGGGTACACGACCATTCAATACAAACATAACACCTATCTGGCTTTTTCTATTTTCTTTGGTACACACATCACGAAGGCCACCAAGATAACTCCTTTTAGCCTTCCCCTTCCCCCCTCACATCAGCCCAGCCACCACCACTTCAGAATCTCTACTGGCCAGTCCATGAATCTGAAAACCACCTTTCAATGCTGATTTGGGGTTCAGGTGATTTTGTAGCGTGTCAGTGGAACTGAACTAGAACCTTGTTTCCCAGGATTGCCCTCCCCCCACGGGTCCAACTTAGCTGTGGCTACATGTGGAATTTTTATGGGAATCTGAAGATGGAAGGAAAGTGGCCCCTAAGTACACTACGCAGGTATGGGTGCCAGGCCCACTGGGGTTCACGGGTTCTGTCACAGATGTCCTGGCTCACTTCTTGCTGTTTGTTGGAAGATTTAGTGGGGCTGGAGAATTGAAGGTGAAGCACAGTTAGAAAGACCAAGCTTAGTTCTGCTTGCTGAAGGAATCCTCTTATATACTTTTACACTTTAGATGTTTTTTCAACTACTGTATAGTTATTATAGAAAAAGCATGGGAACCGTGTAAGCATAAAGAAGAACGTGATGGCTGGGCATGGTGGCTCATGTCTGTAATCCTAGCACTCTGGGAGGCAGAGACAGGTGGATTGCCTGAGCTCATGGGTTGAGACCAGCCCGAGCCAGAGCGCCAGTAGTCTCAGCTACTCTGGAGACTGAGGCAAAAGAATCACTTGAGCCCGAGTTTGAGGTTGCTGTGAGCTCTGATGCCATGGCACTCTACCAAGGGCGGCAAAGTGAGACTCTGTCTCAAAAAAAAAGAACATTACAAATCATCTGTAACTCCCAAGCTGGAGGTGACCACTATGAAGTGCAGAGACAGTTCTAAGGAGGCAGTGTCAGGAAGTAGAAAATACATCAGTTGGAAGTCAGAATCTGGATTCCAGTCCTTGTTCTCTCTTACTTTGCTGAATGTCCTACCAGTATGTAAAAAAGTGACAATTGTACTTAACTTTCCAAGAGTGAAATTAAAAAGGCAAGGATATTGTTACAAGGAGGGACCATGTTTATCTCCTGTCCCTTTCTTTTGGTGAGGTATCAGAGTACCTGGAAGGCCCTAATAGAGCTGAATGCTCAGAGGAAAGAGATTCAAAGGGAAAATCTGAGAGTGAAGCTTCTGAAGCAAATTAGGGAGGAGATCCCTGCAGGGACCCTCCTGGTTCTTGGATTTTCCCTTGGAGGAACAGAGTGTCCATTCTCCTTTGTATTAGCAGGGCCAGGCCAGGGGGCCTGTGGTCCGCTGGCCTCAAGAAGACCTGTGCTGGGTGGCTCTTAGTTGTTGCTTGTAGTACCGAAATCTGTGGTTTACGTGTGGGAGGAGAGACACAGCTCCCTCTTTCACTTCCCCAGCTGCTCCTGGCCCCTGTGACCGGGCAGCAGTGGTCAGGAGAGGAGGGAGAACAGCGGCACTGACCCAACAACAGGGGGAGGTAGAAGTGGCCCGGATGCAGGACATATAGCCCACTTCAGTCTCCTTTGGGATGCTAAGGCCCCCACCTTGGCCAGACATCAAGGGAACAGGTTGTTCATTGAAACACGAGCATCCTGATGCCAGGACTTTGAAGATAGGAATCGCTTATCCCAAACCCAACACGGCCCATAAGCAGTTGAGCAAGAAGCCAAAGATGGTGAATGATTAGCAGAAGTGGCAGACAGCTGCAGAGTCTGTGGACCCGGAGGACCCGGAAGGGTGTTTGGTGGGGGAAAATCAGCCAGACTGTAGGAGCCCACAAAGATCCTTCATGGCCTGGCTGCTCCACAGTGAGGTTCCCCCAGCTTTTCCCCTCCATGCCGCCATCCCACATTCCCCAATATCCCCAGGCCCAGCCACGACCACTTGTCTGGCATGCCAGGGTGAGCAAGAAGGTCCTCCGGGATCCAGTAAACCTGAATTTGCTACCTGCTGTGAATCTGCTTAGTGCCTCAGGGCAGGTAAAGAAGAGTAAGATTGAGTTCTTACCTTCTGAGCTTACAAGTGAGTTGAGGGTGCAACCCCTGTGCACTCACACACATGCACATTAGAGATCTACTCAGGCTATCTCAGCCCCATAGAAATATATGCCACAAATGGGCATTTACATTTTCCAACAGTCACAGTAAATAAGTATCACACAGCTGAAGTTAATTTTATTGAAATCTTATATTGAATCGAATATATTATTTCCACATGTAATTTATGTAAAAATTATGAGGGAGGTATTTTAAGTTCTGAATTTCAAACAGAGTCTTCAAAGTGCGGTGTATATTTTACACTTACGGCGCATCTCAATTCAGACGCGCTATGTAACAGTGCTCAGTAGCCACAAGTGATTAATGGCTCCCACGTAGATTGTCCACCCGTGGACAGTATAAAATGGTATGTTGAGGCATTTTGGTGAAAACTCAGTCGATGAAGAAAGAGGTAGAAGCTTGTTCAGAAATGGCATCTAAAGAGCAAACTATAAATTTTTTTTTTTTTTTTGAGACAGAGTCTCACTAGTTGCCCTCAGTAGAGTGCTGTGGCGTACCAGCTCACAGCAACCTCAAACTCTTTGGCATAGCGATTCTTTTGCCTTAGCCTCCCAAGTAGCTGGGACTACAGGCACCACCACAACACCTGGCTATTTTGTATTGCAGTTGTCACTATTGTTTAGCTGGCCCAGGATGGGTTCGAACCTGCCAGCCTTGGTGTATGTGGCTGGTGCCATAACCACTGTGCTATGGGCATGAGCCAGGAAACTATAAACTTTTTAATGACTGTCAATTTTGATATGGTGCATTCCAAAAGCATATTTTAATTGCATTTTTCTCTCTACGGTGTTTTTCAACCTTTTTTTTTTTTTTTTATTCCATGGCACACTTGAACCTTTAGTTAAACTTTCACAGCACATTTAAATTACATTGATTAAAAAAAAGAGTAAAAAAAGAATATACTTACTATACTTTAAATTTCTTTTGAAAATAATTTAGTTAATGATCTTTAAAATTTTTTGTGGCACACCAGTTGAAAATCACTGGTTTGGGGGAGTATTACCACCACCATCCTTGTCATCATCATCACCCTCATTAATGATGAGTCCTACTCACCTTGGGAGAGGGAAGGCCTGAGCCTGGAAGCTTCAGAGGGTCACACAGGGAGAGGGTCCTGGAATCAACACAAGGTCAGAGACAGCTCATCCATTCACGTTCCCAAACTTTCATCTTATTTCAAGTAAGGGTTACCAGCCTTGGGGTTTATCAGTGACTTGCTAAAACAAGACTTACAAGAGATGGACAAAAATCATTCTAATTTCTCATTTTAAAAGGACTTATGTCTTTGATTTCTTTTGGCACACCACCTCATAGTCATCCTCTTCAAACTTGTGTAATGTGAGCTTTATATCTCCTGTATAACCATGACTTCATTTTCACCATTTGTATGATTGATTTCAGGTACTTTTCAACTATCACATATCAAGCAGTTGCAAATTTCTTTTTCTCCTGGAAACTCGGCAGGTGGAAGCATATACTCACTGTTCCTCTGTTATACCTATATCTTTCCTTAAACAGTGGTCCGCAACCTATGGGTTGCGACCCCTTTGTAACAATGAAAATACATTGCGGCATTAGGAAGGTTGAGAACCACTGCCTTATGAGAATGCTGTAAACTCATCCTCATGGCTGAGGACAGAACTGTAGTTTCCTCCATCTGTCTGTCTTATACATCATTTCTCTTCCAAATCAGAACATGCATCCCCAAGTTAAGAGTTAACCTCTGCTCCCTTTTACTCAAGATTCTTAAATCTGCCATCTGGGAATTTTATTTTAAATTTCAAATTCTGTCTGCCCACCAAAAGATTCACCCTCCTCACACAGTCCAGAGTTGTTGCTAGGAAGGACTTGCCTAGCTAGGAGTGCTGTTTCCCAGTGTCTCAGTGACTGAGGTTGAGCCAAGGGAATATGTGTGGATTGATGGGTACCACTTTCAAGCATGGTCCATATGAATCTCCCTCCTATTCCTCATCATTTCTTTCTCCATATCTGCTGGCTGAATATAGAGAACTGTGAGGCTTTACAGAAGAGCAAAGATGTAGGTGGGAGGAGTCCAGCTTCAGTAAGGCCGTGTGGAGCACTGCCTCCCAACTGCAATGCTGTCATTGCACTTTCTGTATATGGGATAAATAACCTGCTGTCGTGTTATGCTAAGAAGATTTAAGGGTTTCTGCTTTAAATTAGTTAATCCATGTATGCTGTCTATCGTGTGTCAGGGTTCTTCCCCGGCAGCAGGGTCCACTAAGACTTCTGGAAACGGACGGCAATCAAGTGAAGAAATATAGAGTTAGAAATGATGGTAAAGGAAAAGACGTGAGACACAGAGTAGAATTAAAGGTGAGAGCTCAGGGGTCCATTGCCCATTTGTGGGCTTCTGGCAATGGCACCGGGTGTTTGCTCCACTCTGATTTTGTTGAAGTCTATTTGCCCAGAGGGTAAGATGG